CTAGTTTTGAATTGGTAACCAAAAATATTATATTACGATTTTTCTCTGAATAATTATTTTATAATAAGTGTTCAAGTTATGAAACTGGTGATATTTGAATGAAACAAAATTTTACTCAATTCAATTAAAGAAATGTTTTGAATTTCTGGTGTGACATCTGTAACTCGTATTGGTTCATGTGTACGGGTTATGGGTGTTACAAACATGTTCGTTTAACATTTGTTAACATGTTCACTTATATATTCAGAAAAATGATGATATTATGCCATTAGTCCTTAAGTTCCTTAGGCTTTATAATTTTAACTCCAAAGTTCACTATGTGTTCAATTTATTTCCTACTTTCACTAATATTTAAAATGTAAAAAATAAGAAGAATCGGATAAATGAGGTTATAAATGAGTCATTAAACAATCTTATAAATGAACCTGTTTGTAAACATAAATGAATCGAGCATACTATGCTAATGTTCGTTCATTTATCAAATAAATATAAAAATTTATTCATACTCTTCTATTTAACTTAATAAACAAATACAATAAATATTATATGAACAATTCATCAAATACTTTGTTAATTTACACTCCTACCATTAACTATGCTCTAGATACCTATGGAAGGGATTGCATTTCTGCAAATGGAGACAACACTTGCGGAAACCAAAGGTTCATGTAATATTTTCCTATCTTTGGGATATTTTGTTTCATTTGTAGTTTTCTAGTCCCAATAGGGCAAATATTTTAATTAATTAGCCTAATAGGGAATTTTGGAGTTTATTTTTGGATCTACGACATTTGTTACAGTGTTATTAAAACTCGTCACGTTGAGGTGACAAGTTCCAATTAAAATTATTTTTTAATCGACATATAAATATTTAATTATTGTGCTTAAAACTCTTCACCTCAACGTGATGAGTTTCATTAAATTAATATATATTTTTTAACTTTGAGTATTTTGTTTTTTATTAAAAAAAAGTGGAACTCGTCATGCAGAGGTGACGAGTTTCATTAAAATAATATTTCTTTTAAAATTGGTAGTTGTTTATATCCGTTGGAAAACCAACAACATGATTGTTTTGAATTGATGGAATTGGTCACCTCGACGTGATGAGTTTTAACGGTTATTTTCACAAATTTTTCATTATAAATAAGAGTGGATGAGTTGATAGAGTGTATATGAGATTGAAATCATGCATTTGTGTTAAGAATATTACCAAAAAAAATTTAATGGTATATTTGGGTCTGATTACTCATACATTGATAATTCGGATTTGAGCTCGTCTTCAAATGAATAGTGGGTAAATAAGGCTATAAAGTCGATACTTGATCAACATAAGGAGATAAGGAAACTTGAATAAGAGAATAAGGAGATGAAAATCAAGGAGGAGGAGAAGAAGAAGCATTAAGAGTTACTGATCCAACGTAGCAAACGACTTATAGAGAATAATGAAAAAAATAGTTGTGTAAAAATTGAGAAGAAGAAGAAGGAGACAAAAAGTTGTTTTGTATGTTGATTTTTTTATATTAAAGAAATGTTTTATATGTATGAATTTATGTTTCGTTAAAAGTTATTTTTGAGTAGTTTGTAATTATGTATGAAAAATTAAAAATGTAGATGGATAATGATGTTTATAAATTATCCAACGATTGATACAACAAAAAAACATGATAATAGAATTACGAGAGTTTTATCAGCCTACTCGATATTTAGGAAGATGCGGACAATGTTTTCTGTTGTCGCATTCACCTCTGTAGTGGCCACAAAGCTTTGGCAAACCTTGCTTTCATTGAAGATCATCCATATCCGTATGAATTCGACTAGATTCAGGTCGACCTTCAACTTCCTTCGTAATTGCGGGTTTGACAACCATTCTTCAAAAATTGTTGGTAGCCAATCAACATCATTTGGGAGATACTTAAACTCACAGCTGGATGATGATAGTGAGGCATTTTGGGTTGAGCCATTTGGGGCTGATGAGGTGTTGTTGAATAGGCCCAACCACTTTGAGCATTTTGCAATGCATGACCCCGTGAAACTGCTACCTCTCATACATCACCCTCAACATAGAAACCTTGTCCCTCTAAAGCAACCTCATCGATATCAGAATCATCAATTATTAGTGTGTCATTGTCTACTATCATTGGAACAAAAGTTTCATTATCCTCTCTAAAATCAATAATGCTTTCATCGAAACACCCAAAAGGTTGTCATCTGATGATGTTTCTACTTCTTCAACGACAAACGCAACTGTTAACGAAGTACGAATATATACAACATTTTTGTTTCAGTGTATATCTCGATCATTTGATTATTTGAAGATTGATGCAATCTAACCATCACAACAACATCGTCATCATCCTCAAGCTAGATCGCTCCATATATAAGTGGAGTCTATGAAATTATGTGTCGATAACTCAAACATGAAACAGAAGCTCCAAGTTTTCTTTCAATTTTTTGCTTCACGTGGTGATGAGATACAGCTACCGGAAACATCATGTTTATAGGCCTTTGTGACTTAAACACAACACCATCATCAGTTTGTAATTTTTGGCCATTTGAATGGACAACTGTGAAAAATTTGTCTGTCATTGCTTGAGAAAAGTTTCTAGTGATTCAATGAAATTGTAGAAAGTAGAAGTTTTGTGTATATTCTCATAACATAAGCAAATTTAAAAGAAAAATGAGCTATCATTAATGATCATTCAATTCTGTGACATAAACTTTTCAGTGATATATCACTTCATTCAGAAACTTGTCCGTGATAAATCACTTCATTCAGAAACTTTTCAGTGATAAATCACTTCATTCAGAAACTTTTCAGTGATGTATAACTTCATTCAGAAAATTTTCAGTCATATACCAATGCATTTAAGAAGCTTTTAAAAGACAAGCTATCATCAATGACCATTTAATGTCTTTTTCTCATACACCATTTAATACACAATGACAATAACTTTAGTGGCAAATTACTTCACTTCAAACACTTTTCATTGATATATCACTTCATTTCAGAAACTTTTCAGCGATAAATAAATTTATTTCAGAAAAACATCATTTTCTCATACACCAATTAATACACAATGACAACAACTTTTCAGTGCTCAATCACTTCACTTTTCAATGATATATCACTTCATTTTATTGTTATATCAGACAATGACATTTATAAACTTATTTTTTATATGTTTTTATTTAATCTTATGTAGTTTTTTTGTTGTAATATCAGCTCGTCCTATAGTAAGTGCTTCATGAGGGCCTATAAATATATGTGAGGTGAAACAAAAAATATCTTAGCAAAATTGAGTCTTTCACTTCCAAAACTTGACTTTTTTTCTAACATGACTACTATTTTTGTAACTGTTTTTTATGATTGCAAATCTTTAACCATGTCTTTCAAAAAAAATTCAACTAAACGAGTTGAAGTTCAAAATAGAAAGAATAGTTCAACTCGGAAGTAATAGAATTATATCTTCATTATATTATAAATTTCCACTATCCTGCATGAGGTTTCATCTAAACGATAATGTCGACCTTGCTCGTATGATCAAGACATACTATTATCATTCTATGTTTAATGTCGATTTGTATGTAGAGTTTGTTGTTGTCAACCTTGCTCGTATGGTTGAGGATGCTGCTTCCAACTTGAATATCCCACCAACTAAGAATAATGATGAAGAAACAGAGGAAGATGATAGAGACCTGGAAGTATGGTTTCAATTTGTATGTGAACCCTAATAAGAAAAAACATAAAAAATTAAATAACTTAATATTATTTCTGACGAGTCTACTGATTACGAGGATTAAAACATCATAAAAAAAAGTTGTATGTTTATGGTTTTATTTTACTGTTTAAGGTATGTGTAAGGTTTGTTGTATTTATATTCTTAACATAATGTGTTAATTTTGTTGTTTTTATCTTCTTAATGTAATGTTCTTTTTATCTATTACAAAATATATTTCATTGTCCAATCACATCATTTTATATTTGAAAATAAATAAAACATCAGTATGACACGTTGAGGTGACGAGTTCCTTTTTTTACTTTTTTTAAAAACTCTATAATGGAAAAAATAAAAATATATATATTATTTTAATAAATTCGTCATGTCGAGGTGACATATTTTAAGAAAAATAATTAAGTATTAATACGTTGATTAAAAATCAATTTCAATTGAAACTCGTCACTTTGACACGACGAGTTCTAAGAAGACTATAAAAAATGTCGAAGACCTCAAAATAAACTTCAATATTCTATTGAACTAATTAATTAAAATATTTTCCCGTTTATAAAAAAAAAACCCTCATTTATAAGCAAGTGGTGGATTTAGGACAGTATGTCAAAATGGTTGGTTGGGCTACTCTTCGGTCCAAAGAAAAAGAAATAACGCTAATGACGTGTCAATTCTATACAACAACAACAACAACAACAAAACCCTATTCTCATATGCAATGGAGTAAGGGGAGGTAGGGTAGTAGGCTGCCCCCAATACCAGGTTAAGAGCAACTTCCGTGAAAGACCTCCGGCAATCAGAAAATTAAAATAAAGATAAAATACAATGCATGTATAAATAAATAAATAAATGCATAGTTGAATAGTCTTCATATGCAGTCTTCTTATGCGCGTCTGTAATGGGAATTAATCCCTGCAAATAAATTTCTGCGTAAAAATCTCTGCATATAGACAGAAATGTAAGACCGACTAAATTTAAAAAGAGAAAAAGTGAAGAGAATAATACACATAAGTCATCGATAACAAACTACGACAAAGAATAAAGTCAAATGGATTAAAACTCAAATAGATACCAATTCTATATTGGTTATAATTTCCACGTATGTCACACTAGTAAATCCACGTGTAGCCATACCATTGGATGAAACAACGTGGAATGACATGCAAATCCTCGGTTCTTTGAACCCTCGATAGAAATTCCAACCAGTTGATGTCGAGTCTCATCTCTCAACCCCATTAATATATTGAGAGTTTTCCAAATCACCAAAATAGAAAAGAAAAGGAATAAAAAACATCACATGTAAATCTATAGATTTATATAAATAGGAAGACAAATGTTGAAGATTTTGAGTTGGAATTGGACCTTCGATTCAATGGCTTGGAGAGGATTGGTGAACACAATTTTGATACTCCATTTTGTATTGTTTTGTCAACTTCTGCTTCTTCAGCCTCTCGTTTCTGCTTTGGGTTAGTCGGCTTTTTTTCTTACTATTTTGTTTTTCTTGGAGGATTCCCATTTGATCTGGGGTTTTCTTGGATCAAATTGGTGGGTTTTAGTTGTAAATATGGGTTCTTTAGTTTCATTGGTTTTCTGGGTTTTGTTCAAGTATGGTTAAAGGAAGTTCTTGGGTTGGAGATTATGTGAAGCTCGAACTCTTGGAGGGAAATTTTGGATTTTTCCATATTAATTGCTTGTTTTAGTTTCGATTATAATTTATTCATTGTCAAACATACTGTTTTTGTGATTTCTTGGATTATTGTTTTCTGGAAGAGAAGCCTTTGAATAGGCAATTAGTCATTTTGTGCATCTATACTGCCATTTTTCTTTATCCATCTCGAGTAGACTTGAGAAAAAGACTTCTTTTTTCTTATAAGCATAGAAATGAAGTTTTGAATTTTGTGATATGAAAAATTTTCTTGTATGAAAGGCTTATATTATGTAAAAAGATTATCAGTTTAGGATCCTAATTGTGCGACAACAAATAGTTTTCGCATTTTTGTTCATTACCATTCTCTGTTTGGCATTGGTGGAGTATAATTGTCTATTGGATAGTTCAGTTTGATGAACAACTTATTTCTCATTCTTCATTTTGGAATGTACTATAGTAAAACAAATGAAATGAAAAGAAACTGCTGGTGCAAGCATGAAAGTGTTTGTAAAAATGCATCTTTTTCTTGATGCTTATATGATTTTTCAAGTGTCAGTAGCTGGATAGCTGATAATTCTTGTTTGGATGTCAGAATTGTTATTCTTGAGTTTATATATCTTTCCTGTTTCTTTGTCCTTAGAATTTCCACTTGGATGTGCAGATGGAAAGTCAGGAAATGCTGCTGAGATATTTGAGAGAGTTTCACAGAGTATTAAACTGAAGCGTTACAATGAGGCACTCGATGATCTTAATGCTGCCATTGCGGCAGATCCTGCACTTTCCGAAGCATATTTTCGCCGTGCATCCATCCTGCGTCAGCTATGCCGGTACTTTGAAAACTTAGGAAATTAGTATACATAATTTACAATACTTATTTCCTTTTCATGTTTTATTGAAAATGCATATGTTATTAGAAAATATGGTTTGGACAACATTTTCCTTTATGTGCTAGAAAAATGTGGTATGAATGTTTTGTGAAGTTTTGTGGTTCATTTACACCTTGAAAGTGAAAATTTTCTGGTCTTTTCTCTCTTGCTCTCTCTCCCGCCCATCTTGTCTTTTGATTGGAAAATTATATGACAGGTGCTTTTTCAATGTAGATATGAGGAATCGGAGAAAAGCTACAAAAAGTTCCTGGAATTAAAACCGGGAAATTCAGTCACTGAGAAAGAACTTTCTCAATTGCATCAGGCTCAAAGTGCTTTGGAAACAGCTTTCAGTCTCTTTGACTCTGGAGACTTTACAAAAGGTTTGGAATACCTGGACAAAGTTGTGCTAGTTTTTTCGCCCGCATGCTCAAAGGTAGCAACCTACATTAAATTTATTTTCCTTTATTTTTCCGGAGTTTTAACAATATATGTAAAATCTATTTTGCTTCACTGTTTGCAGGCTAAGATCCTCAAGGTGAAGTTGTTGTTAGCAGCTAAAGACTATTCTAGTGTAATATCAGAAACCGGGTTTATTCTCAAGGAAGATGAAAACAATCTTGAGGCCTTGCTCCTTCGTGGTCGAGCATATTACTATTTAGCAGATCATGATGTTGCTCAAAGGTTTGTCTTGCAAAAGAGCATTTTTTGCTATTGGACTACATGAAGAATGGGGGTTTAATAGATACATGGTCCTTTCAGGCATTACCAGAAAGGTCTACGCCTTGATCCCGAGCACAGCGAACTGAAGAAAGCATATTTTGGATTGAAAAATTTATTGAAGAAGACTAAAAGTGTAGGCCTACTAAACATCTTTTTATTCTGCCTCTCCTCTTGTTTTTTTTATATTACTGTAGGTTTAGATACATGGTTGTTTGCCACTAGCCCTACTTTATCGAACAACCTTCAATTTGTTGTTATTATCACATTTCCTTATTTTATTAACATACTCGGACTCGTGGAATCTTGTGTAGGCGGAAGATAACTTGAACAAGGGCAAGTTGCACCTTGCAGTCGAGGACTATAAAGCCACACTTTCTTTGGATCCAGATCATCTTGCTCATAATGTGCATCTTCACCTTGGATTATGTAAGGTCTTGGTTAAACTTGGCAGAGGGAAGGATGCTTTAAGTAGTTGCTCTGAGGCGCTTAACATTGATGAGGAACTTCTTGAAGCTTTAGTACAGGTCTGTAGATTCGATTCGCTTTGTACAACTTTTAATTACAGTGGGGAAAACATAATGCCATAAATCTTTAACTGTGTTTCAATGGTTCAGAGGGGAGAGGCTAAACTTCTAACAGAGGATTGGGATGGTGCTGTGGAGGATCTGAAATCGGCGGCTCAAAAATCTCCTCAGGTTAGTCAAAAATGTTAAATTTGGGTGATAATTTTCCATATTGAAATTTCTTCTCCCGGATTATAGGGCTTCATGAGAGCTAAAAGAATTGTTTGTTTTGCAGGATATGAATATCCGTGAAGCACTTGCGAGAGCTGAGAAAGCTTTGAAGATGAGCAAACGGAAAGACTGGTACAAAATTCTGGGAGTTTCAAAGACTGCTTCGGTTGCGGAAATAAAAAGAGCATACAAAAAGCTTGCTCTGCAATGGCACCCGGATAAGAATGTTGATAATAGGGAAGAAGCTGAGGCTCAATTCCGAGAAATTGCTGCTGCATATGAGGTCCGATCCGTTAAAACTCAACATTCTTTAACTTCGCTGATTATATGAACGAAATACTAGTAACATATTGCATCTTACAGGTTCTTGGGGATGACGAAAAGAGAGCAAGGTATGACAGAGGAGAAGATATCGAAGACATGGGAATGGGAGGTGGCGGTTTCAATCCGTTTGGTGGTGGTGGTGGACAACATTTCACGTTTACGTTCGACGGAGGCTTTGGCGGAGGTTTCCACTTTTGATACCTTCACCACTATGACTTTGCCTGACGTGTTTTCTTCAGCATCTAACTTGTACACCACCAAAATTTAGCTATCCTTTGGCTTCATTAATTCGTTTTAAAATTTGTAGCAGTTGATGATAGCTAATTGAAGTGATTTGATTCGAGTTATTTATGTGTTGTGCCTTTGTTAATTTGTAAATATTTTCTACTGCTTTCCCCAACAAAGCAACAATGAAATACATTAAAATAAGAATTATGTGGCATCATACAGTGGCGATGCTTGAAGAAGTACATCAATATTGGAAAAATAATTAACAAGCTTTGGATTTGGATTCAAGCATTTAAGGTTTTGGTTCGGCCTGATCCATTTCATCTTCTTTTCATGTTTATAATGTAATATTTTATTTTATTTTTATATATTATATAGTTTAATTATATAAAATTCACTTAATATATTTTTAGTGTCTAAACTATACCTTAAAATATGATTTGGTGTCTAAAGAATTTTTTTGTTAATGATAGATACCTATAGTTATTTTTTAATAATAAAATTATTATTTTTTAAAAAATATTTTTTTAGAAAAATCAAACCCCTGCATCATCCCTCTTCTTCCCATCTCCTTACCTATGACGACGAAGGATCACCACCGGTTAAATTTTGTTTGGAGTAGGACGAGGAACTCAATGGTAGCGGTCGTGTAACGTACGGGCAGCTGTATCTTTCGAAATTGTCGAAAAATAACAATGAAAACTTAGAAATCTAGTGATCCTAAGCGAGTTTTTTCACGACGATTAGCGGAGTTTCACAATAGGTGGGAGACTGAGTTTTGGTTGTCACGACGAGACGGTTCAGATGATGTCAACGGTGACCGCTACAGACCGACGATGAAAGGCGTAAAATTTGAAGGGTTTTTTTTTATTTTTTTTAATTATAATATTAAGTTTTTTTACAATAAAATAATTTTTGAAATTTTATTTGCATGAAATGTCAGATAACGGTCAAATTTAACGACTATTTTGGTCCATACACCTAAAAGTTTAATATTCGAAATGTTAAACACCTTTTATTAGGAGAAAAAATTAGACACCAAATGGTATTTTAAAATATAGTTTAGGCACTAAAAATATATTAAGCGAAAATTAAAATTACATTATATTTAATATTAAAATATAAATTTTAAAAATATATTGATTATCAATATTTAAATTTTTTAATAAATGAAAAATATAATTATTATATAAATTAAAATAGTACAATCTACCAATAACCAGCTGGTTTAGTTGGATGAGACACTAGATCCCTCAAGTAAGGTCAATGGTTCGAATCCTAGCTATTGCCAAAAGAGCAAATTAGGTTGGGAAGATTATCCTTGCCTCTGCAGTATCTGATTCAAATTGTCGATCAATAGATCGAATATAGGTGGTTATACAAAAGAAAAAATAGTACAATCTATATAAAAAAATAAAATAAATTGACGAATTTAGATTAGTCATTTATGAATATAGACAGATTTTAATAAAAATTTAAAATTTGTATTTAGAGATGGATCAAACTTTGCTCAAACATAAAATATATAAATTAAACCTATATTATATCTTTCGTTTAATATGATTAAATAATTAAATGATATGATTGATAAATTAAAAGATTAATGGTTTTTAAATTAAAATGCATATATAAATAAATGGTCATAAGTATAGTTTTCTGTAGAATATATTATAATATACACAATTTTAACCCGTTAAATTTAAAATTAATTATTTCATTTCTACTTTTTATTTTTAATATACTATTTTCACTAAATTTAAAAAAAAAGTACATATTACAATTCTATTTAGAGTTAATTGTATCATATATCCTTTCATTATGATTTTTATTTTAATTGATTTTTAAATTTTTGAATTAATTTCATCCCTAAATTATAACTATCATTCTAAGTTAATTAATAAACTTTGAACATTTCAATTTCCTAAACTATGACCCTCATTCTAAATTGGTCCCCAAACTTTTGAATATTTCAATTTCATCCCCAGAGTCATCCAAATATATAATTAGTTTCAAGTATAATTTAACCTAATTTTTTCAAACATATAATAATATAACTTGGCCTAATAATTTTATTCTCGAAGGATGTGATTAATATATACATATAATTTGGGATGAAATTGAAATTTTCAAAAAGTTTAAGGGCCAATTTAGAATGAAGGTCATAGTTTAAGGATGAAAATGAAATGTTCAAAAGTTTGAGGACTAATATAGAATGATAGTCATAGTTTAAGGATAAAATTAAAATATTTAAAAGTTTAATGACTAATTTAAAATAAGAGTCATAATTTAGGGATTTGTGAGATGGAATTAACTCTTTATTTAAGCTCCAATCTTTATAGGTTTCTCGGTATGTAAAAATCATTTTTAAATGAAAAAAAAGTAGGATTAAGGCTTGAAAGCCCATAATGTTTAAGTAAAAGAGCAAACAAAAATTTCTGAAATATATTTAATCAAATCTCACACACTAAAGATCAAAGAAAACAGAGAGAACATCTACCGTTGCCATTTTCTCTGCAATCTCATCTTGTCTGTCTCTCCCAATCCTCTCTCTTCTATCATCTATCTCCCATCACCACCGTCCATTGCGTTGATTTTCCTCTGATTTCGCCTCAAAGTCAAACTCTTGACTACACCTAGTCAAAGCAAATGAAGCAAAAAACCCAGATTACGGCCCCCGATCAGTGCAAACTGAGACACTTATCATAAGCTGCAACCACAGGATCCCCCCTTTCTCTTAGCTTCTTTCTTTGATCTCTATAGGCTATTGCCATTGAAGAACAAAAAGAGAAGTCTTTTCATTTTTGGGTTTTATTATTTTTGTCTTGGTGAATAAGAAAGAAATTTTGAACATTGAGAAGGGAAGGTAGAAGAAACAAAAAGGAAACCCTAAAGTGTTATGATCAGATTGTGTTATCGGCTGTATGACTAGGAGGCGGCATGATTTCGACATCTTCTTCATCGGCGAACGCTCAATCGCCGGGTTTGAAGACTTATTTTAAAACGCCAGAAGGTCGATATAAGCTTCACTACGAAAAGACTCACCCTTCTAGCCTTCTTCACTACGCTTATGGCAAGACTGTTACTCAGGTAGCTTCAAATTTCTAGGGTTATAATCAAGATCCATCTTTTTAGTTTCACTTTAAGTAGGTCTTATTTGGAGTGCAGAATTTTAATTTGGTGTTTTTGTACTTAAAATCTATAATCTGATAATAGCATTTCCAACATATTTGTAAAAATAGTAACCATTTGTTGGAAGCACTGAAAGGACAGGTTTTGTTAAGCTATTTTTTTATGCTCAATTTTAGCATTGTTGATTGAAAGACTTTAAATTAATCCCCTTAAACTTCAAATTTCTATTGTTCTGTTTCAAAATTGATTTTCTAGGTTACCCTTGCACATCTAAAGGAAAAACCAGCTCCGTCAACTCCAACGGCTTCATCATCCAGCTTCAGTGCTAGCGCTGGGGTAAAATCAGCAGCAGTAAGGTGGCTAGGCACTGGGAATGGCAGCCGTGCACTTAGCTTTGTTGGAGGGAATGGTGGGATTAAAAATGTTGGTAGTACTAGTAGGATTGGTGGGTCGTTGGGTGCTTCAAGTTCGAGCAATTCATTGACTAATACAAATTTTGATGGGAAAGGAACTTACATAATTTCCAATGTTGGTGATGCTATTTTTATAAGTGATTTGAATTCGCAGGATAAGGTAATTTAGAATTTGATTTGCTAAGATATTTGAGGAATTGAAAATGATTTACTTGAGCTATTTTAAGAATCTTTGTGTTTAATGTAGGATCCGATAAAGTCTATCCATTTCAGCAATTCAAACCCTGTTTGCCATGCATTTGACCAGGATGCCAAAGAGGGGCATGATTTGCTCATTGGGTTGAACTCTGGGGATGGTAATCATTGTTCTGATTTGCAATTTTGATTCCAAGGTTTAAACTCTGCAAATTTGTGAGTTCTGTTTCATTCTGTAGTTTACTCAGTGTCACTGAGACAGCAGCTACAAGATGTTGGAAAGAAGCTTGTTGGGGCTCTGCATTACAATAAAGATGGTTATGTCAATAGCAGGCAAGATTCAGATTGCTATATCTTTTATATATTTCCGACTTTTTCGAAGTTTGACTTTTTCAACCGGTGTTCCCTGACAAATTATATTTTAAGTTTCCATCTTCAGCATGTTCTGTTTTAGTTCTTCCTGCATTGTGATTCTTGTAGGTTTGTGTCTCCTATTTCTAGGGTTGCATGAAGACTGATTGTAATACCCAATGACTCTGTGGCAGGATAAGTTTCAATGACATCTTATTAGCTTAGTTTTTCTTTCAGATGGTGCATATGTAGCTTACTCCATGAAACCGTTATAAAATATATTTATTTGGAATACACATTTGTTGTTTTACAGGGGCAGTATTGCCTTTTTGGTCAACCATAAATTTAATTTCAATCCACCTTTGAGACCTTGCTTTAGAGGGCTTCATTTGCTCTCTTTGACATTGATATTCAATCTGAACTTATAAGGTGTCAATACTCTCCATGAATCGATTGTCATCGTAATTTGCAATATTCAACATATAATTTCTCTTCCAGTTTTGCTTTCCTCTTGGGCTTCCCTTAGGATGATAGAGGAGGACAACAAAATTGTCACTAGTTGGTGTTATCTTCAATATTGATGTGTGTGTGTGTGTATATATATATTTTGTGTGCGTGTCTGTGTGTTGGATCTACACTTTGTTTGATTAATGCTTGTTGTTTCCAGCAGTCGCTGTACTAATATCACATGGGTTCCTGGGGGTGATGGTGCTTTTGTTGTTGCTCATGCTGATGGAAATATTTATGTGTATGAAAAGGCAAGTTTCTAATAATTAGATCATTAGATGGCTCTTTCCATCTGTGCAAATTACATGATGTTCTATGCAATATGTTTTTTTTAGCTTTTCTTTTTTCCCCTCCAGAACAAGGATGCTGCTGGTGATACTACATTTTCTGTTATAAAAGACCAAACTCAATTTTCTGTATCGCATGCACGCTACAGTAAGGTACTAGTAAGTTCATTTATAGAATTTTGACTTTCTCATTTGTGTATGCTTCCTGAAATTGGTATTCTTTACCTTAGAACTATTGTCTAAAGCCGGAGGCCATTAATATTATATCATCTGTATGGTTCTAGTAGGCCTTGCCTGGTTATAACTTACTGCAGCATACATGACCTAGAGTCTAAAAATAGTGATCGACACCCAAATTTAATAGACACCTGCAATTAGTCCTGATTTTGCCTACGCTTTTTTATTTACTAGTTTTTTTTTTCTCTGGAAAAGCTGCAAGTAATTATGTAGAAGCCAATATTAATCATGCATGCTCAAAACCTTTAATCAATTCATTAACTGCTACTGTAGTATTAGAATGAAAGAAAAAAGAAATAAGATATAGTGTTGTGCTTGCTTGGTGGTGTATATATTTATTTTGTTACAGTTAATGCTATGATAGCCTTGGTATGTGGCACGATAGAGGACCCACCCTAGAACCATAATTTGGGATTTGTCTGACTGTTGTTTTATATCATTGAGGAAGCAATATATGTATTACTCCAAACTTTCTATGTATTCCCTGTCTATCACTTTGTTGACTCGCCAATTTTTACTTGCAGAGTAATCCAATTGCTAGATGGCATGTTTGTCAAGGGTCAATTAATAGCATTGCTTTCTCCTTTGATGGAGCCTACCTGGCCACCGTTGGAAGAGATGGTATTAATTCAAATTCACATAATTTACATATTCTGGTCTTTTTCTTTTGTAGTTTGTTTGAACTTTAGCTTTCCCTTTTCTCTTTTAATATGCTGAGTGCAGGCTATCTGCGAGTGTTTGATTATTCGAAAGAACAGCTCGTATGTGGTGGAAAAAGTTACTATGGTGCTGTATTATGTTGTGCTTGGAGGTGCTCTATTTTTGTTTTAACTTTTTAAAACTGTGGCTGTTTTATCTAGAGTGTACTGTGTTTTCAATTTGTCAAGTTCTGTTCCTTTTATATAAAAAATAAATGTCATTGACGACAACATCCACAAAACAGCACGGATGGGAAATATATTCTGACCGGAGGTGAAGATGACTTGGTTCAAGTTTGGAGTATGGAAGATCGGAAGATTGTCGCATGGGGTGAGGGGCACAACTCGTGGGTATGATTTTTATCTTCTAATGAAGGCTTCTGTTTATTTATTTTTTATGATGATGACCTAATTATGAACTGGTGCTGACAGGTCAGTGGAGTGGCGTTTGATTCATATTGGTCAGCACCCAATACCGATGGCACACGAGAGACTGTGATGTACCGTTTTGGTTCTGTTGGTCAGGTATATAGTCTTTTCAAAATAATGACTGCCTATTATCATAATTTCCATCTTGATTCGACGTTTTCCCAAAGTTCAACCTGCTCATGCATTCTGATTGTGTTTGAGGATTCAACTCTTAAGTTCCAGAAATGTCTTGCTTCTGCAAGTTAATAGATGCTTCAAACTTATGTTTTAGTCATGAAGCAATGTTCCTAGAGGTAGGGGTTACCTCCTTTTCCTATCTCATTACTGCTTTCCTTTGTGTAGGACACACAGTTGTTATTGTGGGACCTGGAAATGGATGAAATTGTGGTGCCGTTGCGTCGATTCGCTGGAGGGTCCCCTACTTACAGCACAGGGAACCAGTCTTCCCACTGGGACAATGCATCCCCCTTGGGTACCTTGCAACCAGCCTCAAGCATTCGAGATGTCCCTAAAATTTCACCACTGGTTGCTCATCGCATTCACAACGAACCCCTCTCAGGCATGATTTTTACCCATGACTCTGTACTTACAGTTTGTCAAGAGGGGCACATAAAAATCTGGATGAGACCAGGTGCTGCAGAAAGCCAATCAAGCAACACCGAAACATTGTTAAGTACCAGCTCCAAGGATAAGCCATTGCTTTCCAGCAAAATTGGCGGTTCTAGCTACAAGCAATGATCAGACTATCATCGAAGATTCAAGACAAAATGAAAGCCATTGCTAGTGTGGGCCGTTCATCTCTATCTAACCTGTTGGTTTTTGCAAGTACAACTGTTTGAACCGAATTGAATTGCAATGAGATGAAGCACCTGAATCCATTGTATTTTCAAAGGACAAATTGCCATTGACAGCAGAAAGAGGTGTGGAGGAAAGAAACTCCATTATAAAAGTACAAACGGCTGTTCCTATAATATTTGACACTGACAGGAATAACATGAAGTTGCTCCTCTAAGAGTAGTTTTCTTAAGAGGTGAACTTGAGTTATTATTTATTATTATTGGTGATGCATCATTGCCATTAAGATTATTATTTTTGTTGGATCGTTGAAAAACTGATGTTGAACATGCTGATAGCTTCATGCACATAATAGTTTCATGGACTTGCAGAAAATAATCCTGAAATTTTGGGAAATCATCTTATGATTTGATTGAAACAATGTGATTTTTACAACAGATCAAAAAAGAAAATTTCACATTCAGGAAAAAATTCATTCATTGTATATGCATGTAGTAGCATTAATTGTTATAGCTTCCTGTTTGATTATTACAATGACCTGACATAGTGTGAGATCAAAAAGAGAAAAAAAGGCAAAAGCCAAAAGAAAAGCAATAGGGTACTACTACTACTTACAGGAAGAAACATAATTTCATCTCATTCATCAGGGCCATTGTTGACCTTTATCTCCAAAAGCCTTTCAACTGGTTGCCTACATATCGGACAGCGATTGCTTTGGCATCTCAAAACCTTTGCACAAGAGCTGCACATGCACTGCGTAACCAACAAAAAAGAAAAAAATTAAAAATATGAAAAACATAAAAGATCAAAGAAAAGAATAAATGAAGCGGATGATTCGAGTTTTACCATGTGCCTGCAGGGAAGAACGGTTGTGTCCCGGGGCTCCGAAAGGCAAATGGCACATTCTTTTCCGGGACCATTTGCATCAACACCGTCATCAACTGAATTTCCAATCCCATATATTTCTTGCAGTTCATATCTTACCCCACTCACCCACAGTATCTGTTTCACTACTCTAGTGTGGTATTCACCCTTCTCCTTCTCAAACACGGCCTGAGTTATCTGAGAATTCATGGTTCCCGACACTTGGTTTCTGTCTGACCCATCCTGGTTGACAGGCAATGCCTCTGCTTTCACTGCCAGATAATAGATATCTGTGTCTACTTTCAGTAACTCGGACTCCTCAAACATAGAGAAATCAATCCCTGTTCCAGAGGGCTGTGTGAACTTCTGTCCAAGACCTTGTTCGAAAGGCACGGTAACTGGTGGTAGAATACTGTCCTTCATTGGTGTTAGATCACAGTTTTCACCTTCTTTTGCAAAGAAAATAACAATCATCCTGTTTGCCGAGCAAAGCAAAAACTACATCTTGTTAAGATCAATATCAGAACACAAGATCCAAATAATGGCAACCCTTCAACGAAGATGCAACATTGATCAGATATGATGCTGCATATGAAATAACCTAAATGCATAAAAATAGCTAGTAAGAAAAAAAGGAAAAAGCTTGTCGGAAAGGCTACATGAATCCACTCCATTAAATAAGTACAGCTTTTCTCAAGATGAATAAGAAACAGAATTACCATAAAAGACATTTTTAGAAAAAACCAAGTGTGATTCTACCCATACTATGATAAGAATGAAAACTCAAACCAAAAGAGAAGGATCATAAGAAGTGTTTTACAAGAAATTCTGCCAGATCAACGCTCGCCATGTAAGTTGTGTTGATCAACAAACCATTCATGATTATTTTCTGTTATCCATTGCAACATTTCATTCAAGCAAAAGCATAGAGCTCATCTTTCCATCATTTTACTCTAGTTGAGAAGTTTCTATAACCGATTACTAGGACACACAATATCACCATCATTTTAGTTTTCATTACATTAAAGCTATTGACACTTTCTCTCAAGTCAAACAAGAAAATCAAAGAGCCTGAACTTTGACAAACGGAAGCGGGGAAGATCTCAAAACACCTTAACCATTGTGAAATACCATTTTTGGACGTTTTCTTCCTTTTTCCAGACAATTGGATTCTTTGATCACTGTCAGACCCCATATAAACAAGGAAGCCTTAAGACCTCGAAATATAACTGACAAACAACAAAATCAACACTTAAAGTTAACAAAAGGTGTCCAATCTTTCATTGTTCTATATTTTAAAAGTCGTCTGGCAAACCTTAATCACATCAATTATATCCATGGCGTTAAATTCCAATGAAAAGGAGCTCATATTCATTGCTGCAACCAGTGATTCTCATTGACAAAAAAAAAAGTAAATAAAAATTCATCTGAGAAGGTTGAATTTTATACCTTCCAGCATGAGTAGCAGCAAAAGTGAAAAAAAAACCCCAAAAACTAGCTGGGATTCTCCTCATCAGATAACAATTTCAAGAAAAACAAAATCTATAATTTAAAAATGGCTTAAGGGTTACCTTTGCCCCGGTAGTAGACCAATTTATCAGTTTTGGCCCTATCGTGGTTTCGCATCAAGTTAGCTCTCAAAGTTGCTCAATTGCGTCAGTCTATATATTCTATCCCTAAATTATAAACCCTAAGTTATAATTTATGGTTTAGAGAATATAAGGTTATGATTTAGGGTTTTAAGTTATAGTAGGTATAGAATGATGCAGTTGAGCACCTTCAAGGGCTAAATTGATAAATTGAGTCTACTATAGGAGCAAAAGTTACCCTTTTGCCTTTAAAAATCCTTTCATAACCTAGGAACCGGGAGGGCTAACCAAAAAAAATCCATTCGCAAACCTTAAACCCTCTAATAGTTCCTCTATCAAAAGGCAATGCACTTATCGTTCTAATATGACATAGTATAAATCTCAAGCACTAAAATTGAAGATAGTTTTAACAAAATAATCACATCAATTCTATAAACAGATTATCAAAAGCAACCCATATTCATAGCTGCAACCAGTCATTCTCATTGACAACAAAAATTGAAACTTAAATTTTTATACCTTCCAGCAAGAGTAGCATCAAAAGCGAAAGAAACCAAAAACTTCCCAGGATTCTCCTCGTCAGGTACCAATTTCAAACTTTCCTTCTTCAAATTAACGTCATTCCTTATAGTAACCGCCTTCTGATGCTCAATATACGGCACCGGTGGTGGAGGCGGCATCATCGGTCCATAACCATACCTACTCCAACTGGCGGATTCCATGTGAGGACCGCCTCGATGGTGATGATCGTAAGGCGCCGGAAGAGGCAAGGGAACCGGCGGCTGAGGCGGATAGTAGCCTGGATACTGATAGTATTGGGGTGTGTTCGTGTTGGGATACTGGGGCGGGTAAGGCGTGGCAGCAGCGAAGACGTAGCGATTGGCAGCGATTTCGGGTTGAGGTTGTACTGGAGTAGGCGACGGTGGAGGAGGAGGGTGGTTTCGCCGAGTGCCGTTCCGCCGCCAGCCATTTGCGCTACTTCCGATGTTTCCCATGAATACCTTTTTTGCGGCAGAAGAAGATACGAAGGGAAACAAAGTGGAAGTTGTTATAAATATCTATCTATAAAGAGAAGATTTTTATGAAGAAGTGAGATCCAAATTCAAGTGAACAGATTTGGGTTTTCCCCAAAAACAGAAGGAAACTTGGGATAGGAAGGAAAGGAGAACAGTTTGTTATTTGTTTGGTATTTCGTCAGTAGAAGCGAAGGTCAAGAGAGAAAAGAGAATATTTGGATGGCTGTAATGGTTTGTGTAGTGTTCCACTCAATTCACCATTAATGGCTTATTGTGGCACGTGTCATAACAAGAATGAAAGGTTTTTTTAATTTAATTATTTTATTTTCCACTTAATCATATAATGACACGTCTGGGGGATTCAAACCTGGGCAAGGTTGGATGAAAAAGCAACATACGAGACAGATTTCGAGTTACTCAAATAGATTTTATTTTTTTAAAATAAATTATTAATAATATTAATATTTATGTATTGATGTTTTAAAAAATACAGTAAATTTATGTATTTAAAGTTCATGTCGAGTTTGAGTTTGAGGTTTCAATCGAGTTAAGTTTAAGATTTTTTTTTTCATTTTGAGTCTTTTCGAGCTGCTCACGAGCTTCAGTTCACGATTTCGAGTTCGAGTTGAGCTTGAAAATTTGAAGCTCGCGAGTTTTCGAGTCGAGACGAGCTTTATTTCAGAGTTTTTAAGTCGATTCGAGCTCAGCAATACTCGAACTCGGCTCGGCTCGTTTACACCCTTAACCCAAACCCAAACCACCAAGGTAAGAGCATTGTTTGGATTAAAATGAACATATAAGGTATAAGATACTGTAGTGAATGAGAGAAAAAAGTTAAAAACAAGATATTCAATTTTTTTTAATAAATATATAAATTATTTGATAAAATTAACAACAATATATATAGGGGGAGTAGAGTGGGAATCGGCGGGAAAAGGTGGTAGGAAAGATCAGCGGGAAAGGGTGGCGGGACTGGAGGGAAGACGCGCGCCAATAGATGCGCCTTCCAAAAACCCTAACTCGACATAAACGCTTCTCATCAAACGTGCCTTAGTGCCTTTTAATCTTAAAATTTATTTATTTATAAAATTCAAAATAATTAATCAAATTGAATTATCATCTTAAAAATTTGAACCAAACGTTCTGAAATTATTTCAATCATTAAAAATATAATTTTTTTATTAAAATTTAACACTTTTTAGAAAACTGGAAATTAAATAAGACTCATTTATTATTATACTTACAGTAAAAGAAGAAATTTGAAAACTTTTATTGGAGAAACTATAGATATAAATGGAATCTTATCCCATGCCTCAACAAGCAACCAAGCAAAGTTAAACCCTACAAATGAGCACTGGAACGTTTCACCAAACGTGTCTTATCTTCTCTCTCTTTTTAAGACGCGTTTGATGAAACGCGCCTATTCTCTTTCCTCCAAACAAGTGTTAGATCAATAAATGTTTGAGAAAAGATGTCAGATTAATTATATTTGATTTTTAGAGTGAATTTTGGGTCAAATTGCCTGAAAAGTGACCTAGGGTAAAGTTGAGTGAAGTACCGATAAGATTGTTTCACCATTGGAATTTTAATAAAAAAAGAAATTATTATTAATACTATCATATTATAATAAACTGATAACTTATTATTAACAATCATTATCTTAATAATAAAAAATTGATATAGTATGTTAAACTAACTTACTTGACCAAAACTCTATCTCTATCCCACTCAATTAGTTGATGTAACATATTTTATTTTTCTTCGACTCTCTTGATCCCGCTCTTTCAAAACTTCCTATCTTCTTTTCTCACACATTTAATTCACAGTATCAATTCTAAAAATTTATAAATAAATAAAAAAACATAAATAGCAGTCGTAAAAACAGTTTAACTGCATTCTTTTAAGACGAAGTCTTATGTGACAAGTATAAAAAAGACAGCTCGAGATGTCATTGACGTTATTCGAACCAGCTTTATAACCAACTTCAATTTGTAGCCAAGATGCTCGTTGACTTTTGTAAATCACAGGATGTTACTGGTGACACCACTAAACCGTCGTCACTAGTGCCCTCAAATAATACTATTGTTTTTTATCAATCATATCTATCTTACTATTATGCCTGATTTTCTCTACAAGGCTTCAATTAAAGTCGTCGATGTCATCTGACGTAACGGTTCTTACGTTTTTATTAGCGGGGAGCGATTTAATTTAATTTAAAAGAATAAGTTTGGAAAAATAAATAAATTTTGAGTCATCATCGACCTTTGAGTTAGGTAAATCGAAAATTAAAATTCATTTTAAGGGTTTGAGAGTCGATTGAGCATGAGGAAGGATGCACATCACACAACGCCCAAAATTTGTACCTAAGAAATATTGTTTTAAATTATGACGCATTTTAGAAAAATTTAAAATATATTTTCTACGAACAATCATTGAAAACTCACTTCTTGTTAGTCAAGACGTGTTTCCATATATTTCCTTACAAAAGATCATTGCCTTAATTTTTAGAAATATATATATATATATATATTATATATCACTCGAATATAAAAAGGATAATATTTTGTATGAACAATCCTCGAAAACACACTCTTATCAGTCAACACCTATTTTTATAGATTCCTCTCACAAAATATTGTTGTCTTGTATTTTAATTATATATATATAGAACTCATCAAATATAAAAAAAAATACTATTTTGTATGAACAATCATCAGAAACACACTCATTGTCATTCAAGACGCGTTTTCATAAACTTTCCTCACAAATTAATAGTTTAAAAATATTTACAATCAAATCCAATAAAATATATTTAATTCCATATATATATAAATATTATAGACAAAAACTTAATATATATATATATACACTAACTCAAACCCCCAAAATGTTATATACATATAATACATAATATGAAAAGAAAAAAATGGCGTGCGTACATATATAAGTACATGCTTAATTAAAAAATATACATAACACAAGCAAAATTTAATATCTACATGATAATTGATAACAATATGTAAACTATAATAATCTAATTAAAGTTGTGATATGTAAATAATCGCAACACATTACATACATATGACATAGGTGCATGACACGAATATTAATGTATAATATATGCACGTGATGGGCCAAAATGCATGTTATAGTAACCAAGTGAGCATAAACACAAACATAGCAAAGAAAAGGGATTAAATGTAAATAGCGTAAACTGATATAAATGAACAAAAGGATTGAAATGAAACGTGGGTAAAATAAAGAACAAAAAAGGAAAGTAGAAAAGCCTCTAAATGAGGACTATTTTGCATTTCCTACAAAATTGGATGGAGCCCTCACCAAATACACCTAAAACCCAACAAACAGAAACCTTGGCCCTTAATACAAAATGATGTCGTTCAATTGTTTAGATTAAATCTTAGTTAGTCTAATCTAACTCATTTTGGGGTGTTTGGTTAAAGAATGGGATTCCCATGGGAATGAAATCCACATTTCATGTTTGGTTGGCTGGGAATCTCATTCCCGGTAAGTTTTATTACTAATAATAGATTTTTTTGGGTATATTATCGGGAATGTCATTACCTCCCTTTCTTAAGTATTGTTGGATTACCGGTGCTTTGGACTAAAATGCCCTTAAATTTTTTTCTCAAAAATATCTTCTTCTGTCATTGAATAATAAAAATTCTACAAAGGTTAAATTACAAATTTATCCTTAAACTATTTTAAATTTACAAAAAAATCTATAATTAAAATTTTACACTTTCATTAAACTTTTTTATATTTTCAATTTTGTAAAAAATATATAAATTTTATGAATTTAAATTTTTTAAATAAAATATATAAATATTTTCCAACTTGTTAAAAAATAAATATATAATAAAGATAATTTGGTCAAATATACATTCTAATAATCTTTTATTCGTTTAACTAAACACGGTAATCTTACATTTCTGCTAAACCAACTAAACACAAAATACAATATTCTATAATCTATTATCAGGAAATATTACATTCCACAGTAATCTTACATTCCGCGAACCAAACGTACCCTATATGTTTTGCATCTTCTACCCCTCCACTTATCTCACTAGCTTAAGGAGGATTCTCCCTTCTCTTTTCCGTTTTAGAGAGGAGACCACAAGTCCTCCGACCACCGTAAATTTGACGGTGACAAGGGATAAAACACTACCCAACGACTCTCTCCTCTACCTTTGAACCCAAAACAAGACCTTTCAAAGCTCTCAAAACCCCGCCACAACTCTTCTCAAACTCCGAAAAAGGTTATAACTTAGCCTAGCTTTAAAGGTAATTAGGTTACATGCAGATACAGTTTCTTCGATGAGCGACAATAGTGAACGAGGTAAGCTCTTTTTAGGGTTTTTTCTCTCTTTTCCTTTTTTCTCTCTGGGTATTTCTTCGATGATCAAAGGACTCCCCCTTTTTGTTTCTCTTTCGAGTTGTATAACCCTCTTTGATCATAAAAAGTTCCCCGTTGATTTTTACTACGTGGATGAATCTAAGGGCTCCAAAATGCCCATTCTTTCTTTTAGAGTCTCGTGATACAAATCCCCCACCATTTGCTTGTCATGGCAGAGAGAGGGGTACAACAGCTCACACGAACGGGGAGGGGGGACCATCTATGGTGCGTATTGAAGCTTAGTGCACGTCCATGGGGTGTGTTAGTATCTCGAACACTAACTGGTGCATCACATGTGCGGCCAGATCAACGATCAATTATGATGGGAGCGTCTAGATCGTTGGATAGATGACATGATCCAGCGGTCGCGTTTTCGGTCGCGGTGCGTTTATCGCTGTTGTTAATATAACGGATGTCATCGCGCTGCAGGTGTCGTGATGGTGATTTTTTTTTTAAATTAGCACAACTTATCCTAAAATATAATTATTATAGTTATAATTTTAAAGATTATCAGCATAGAAAAAACTCTAAAAAAATTAAAATGGATAAAATAAATTACCATTATGATTCACTTACGAAAATCAACATATTATAACTTACTAAAATAAATATGTGTAAAATAAAAGATCCAAATCAAAAGATCAACAAGTTTCAAAAAAATTACTAAATTACAACACGCATAAAAATTGGAGACCAAATTAAAATATATAAAAGTCTCAATCAGGGGAC